ACACGCTCCAGCACCTCAACGTCCTTCTTGTAGTGAGGGGCCCAAAACTGAACACAGTATTTGAGGTGCGGCCTCACCAGTGCCGAGTACAGGGGCACGATCACTTCCCTGTTCCTGCTGGTCACACTATTTCTGATACAGGCCAGGATGCCATTGGCCTTCTTGGCCACCTGGGCACACTGCCGGCTCATGTTCAGCCGGCTGTCAACCAGCATCCCCAGGTCCTTTTCCGCCAGGCAGCTTTCCAGCCACTCTTCCCCAAGAGCTACATGGCTAGCTGTGTGGTGTTACACTCTGAAGAAGTTGTGTGGTAGGAGAAGGAATATAAGTGATGTTCTTCCAGACCTGAGCTGTCAATGTTTCTTCTCTGAATCATATTTCAGAGCATGTGTAACTTGTATCCTACTGTTGCAGCAGATCAGCCTCGAATGCTCTGCTGGCCTCATGTCAGCCCCAGGTGTTTATCAGATCCAGCTTGTTGGTCACCATCCTAGCCTGGCTGATTTATCCATGAGATAAGACTCTGTGATTTCTGGGCACATTTTCCTTCAAAACTCCCTCTGAAAGTATGGAACTGTGCACATCCCACTTCAGTCATCGTCCCAGAGGAGCATTTTGTTAATACTGGAAATGGTGGGGGCATGGAGAGCCTGTATTGGGGCAGCAAATGGACCTTTGACCATTGTGTCCTGGGTTTTCTAAGAAAGTGGGAATGCTTCACGCTGTGCAGGCGTCTTGAGAAGTCAAAGGAACTGTGTACAGACCAGGGACCTAGTAATGCCTTTCCTCCCCAGTAATCTCTAATGCTTCTCTGCTTCACAACCTCTGTTCAGTTCGTTCTTCATTGTTGATAGCACGTGACATTTTGTAGAAACAGCTTTGTAACCTGTCATTAACTTTCTTCGGGAGCCAAAGGAACTTAATGGCTCTAAAGCTGCTGTTCAGAGAATTATATAACTTCATCTGGTCATGCTCAGCTGACAGTGGGTCAGCCCCATGTGCCTTGGTACTACCCCTTCTGTCTCAAGAAATGTCCAACTTCAGCCTTGGAGATAAGCTTGGGAAGCCAAATGCTTCTTAAGATTGCAGCACAGATTCCCTGCCTCCTGCATTCTAGCCTCAATTCACAAAATGAGATGTGCTTGTCTTCCCTTAGCAAAATCTGGTTTAATTCTGTTTTTCTAAAGAGTGAAATATAGCACTTGTTTTGAGAGCTGCCAACACATGAAGTGTTTAGCAGCAATTGCAAGTTGAAATAATCTCAATTTGATGGGAGAGTAGCACTGTTGTCTGCAAAAGGTATTCCACCCTTGTTTTCCCTGCTTTGTTGTTATGCTGAGGATAGAAGATTTCTTTGCAATTCTTTGACCTTATTTCATGCCTCGTCCATGCACACTTGTAAGTATGAATTTTGGGGCAGTGTCTGCTGGCTGTTTGATGACAGCTCAAAGGAGCATGTGTTGCCCTAAATGATTTGCTTTGCTCATTTTGTACCTGTGATCTCTAACAGGCACACTCCCTCTTTCCATGTTTTTTTGTCTAGTTCTACATCTCTCCTTTTGCCTTGGTGCAGTCACTGCATGTACCTTGCAGCTGCTTAACCAGGAGCAACTGAGGCTGGCTGGAAGGGCACGGAGGCAAGGGGTTTATATTCCAAAGGCTTCTCTCTGCTCTTACAATATCACCCCAATCAATGTTGTCTGAAATAATACTTTGGGGTTTGGTGGGGGTTTTTTTGCACAAATTCCTTGGCTTGAGCACAGGGAGATCAGCAAGAAGGGAGGAATGCTTCTGAAACCCAGCAGGCAATGCTCTCTGGATGTGTGTGTACATTGCAATGTCATCAGTCATTCAGTTGTTGACTCAAAGTTATTCTGGTTTTCCAGCGTGTTTGTTCCCTGCTGAGTTATAGCCACAGATGGTAAAAGTAAACTTTGCACTTTTCAGTGTGTAGTCCTTTCCCAGATTTTACTTGTTGCTGTCTTTTGTGGTTTGGTTTGACTTTTAATTTCCTTGGGGATGCTCTACAGAGGGAGAAGGTAGTGCTCAAAGAGTGAATTTTGCCCTGATTTATCAAAACTTATTTCTGATGGGAACAGTAGTGTTCATCTCTTCCTTTGTGTTGTCTCCAACAGCCAGAGGATGGTTTCTTCTGGGGAGCAACACAACCTGGACAAGAAGCTTTAGCTGGTGCTTTTCTGGGATGTAGGTGTGTGGGGTGGGTGCTCAGTGGGGTCTTGGAGTACAAATGGAGCCATGTGGGACTGGCTAGAAGTGTGATGGGAAGGCAGAAATAAAGCTTATTGCTTGTAATTATAAAAGGCAGTTGTCAAGTCGGGAAAACTGATCTGCAAGTACTTGCAACTCTTGTTCTAGATGTATGGGATTGTGCTAAGGTGGAAGAGACCAAAAAAAAAACCCAACCCTAGCTGGAGGTTCTGATATTTAATACAGCATCCCGAGCATCATCTGGACTGCATTAAGGTACTACTGCATCTGGTTATCCCCTTGCTGGACTTGGAAATGAGCTGTTTGCTTGTCTGCTGTACTTCCAGTCTGTGTATTGTGTTTTTCTACTTCACACGCTGACTTCGTAAGCAATTCGTAAAGGGATTTTTATAATTGGCTAAAGAACATGTAAAATTATTTTAAGCTTGTAAGTTTGTACTGAGCGCCTTGGGGGAGGGATTATCAGCTGGCCCCTGAGGATACTGTGTTTAGTGAGAGGGAAAGGGGGGACGAACCTCTTGTGTCTGAGCTTGGCGTGTCCCCCCTAACCGGTGCTGGCCTAATCCAGAAAGGCTGCCAGATGCTTTGGAAGAGGTGAGAGGCATTTACTGGGATTTTGCTTTCCTCTGGAGCTGTTGCAGTCAAGTGAGACCAAAGTCAGCTGTGATAGGAAGGACTTCTGGTGGGTTGATGTGGTTGGGGATACAAAGCATCTCTGTGCATAGGGGACAGACAGCTATGTTAATGCAACAGCTTCTAGACACTGAGTGTGATCAACATTTGATCTTACAAATATATGTAGTTATTGGGTCAGTTGAGATTAATTAAAATTATTTTATTTGTCCTAAAAGACTGAGATGTTAACTATAATAATAATTATAGTATTTATGCATAGATATAATGCTGCTATATCTGCATTTCCAAAATGCAATGGAAGATGTTTATTCTTTGAGGATTGGTTAGTATAACTACAAAGGTATTAGTAAAGGCAGGAAACAAACCCCTTTAATAAGGGAGTGTTCTGTGTTTGTATTCATTGCTGTTATTCTTTACTGTTTTCTTTAAAACAGTAAATGCATACATTATTGCACAGCTAATTCTTTCTCAGGGTCACTTCTTAGGCTGTAAAATATTGCTTCCTGTAAGCCTTTTACCTTGAAAGGGGACAGCAAACATAAGTTAGACTCTCTTTAAAACGTAAAATTTACCCTTAATGGTGTCTTTTTTTTTTTTTTTTCCCTGCAGGTGAGATACTGCTTGCTGAATCTCTGCCTGTGACCTGTGAACTTTACAAAACGTGCACTTATTTCTGCATAACGTGGTGGGTGTGCAGGTTGATAAATGGTGTTCTGAGTGTCTTGGTGAGGTACCTATAGTGTCCATGAGGGAACCCAAATTGCTTGCTTTAAGTTGAAGGATTCAGAGTTTAAAGCAGACTTTTGCTGTCTGTCAGCAATAAGAATCTGTCTGCTGTAGGAAAATTGCTTGTGGGCAGTGTATTTCACATCTTCCCTTGCTTTCCCCCTTGCTACCAGTCTTGTCAACTGGAGTTTTCAATGACTAAACTATAGCATATGCTAAGGGTGACTGCAAGAGCGTGCTAAAGGCTAAGGCAGACTTGTGGAAGTGCCTTGTAATTCAGAACAGTGGGAAAAGTATTGAAGTTATCTTGGCTGAATAACACAAATTCATATTACCAATTCCTTGCTGAAAACGTGGGGCTGCTTTCCTGAGCAGCCAATGCCTGTGCACCTTGTGGGGGCTGCGATTGTGTATCGCACAGGTCATCTCCTCTCCTGTGCTGATTCTTTCAACTCCCACTAAGGTGCAATTGGAAGAGCAAGCGATGAGAAGCAATGAGAAAAGTCAGTCTGTGCTGTGCATGTGCAGTGCAAAATGGGAGAAAGACCTGGGCAAAGCTGGTGCTGGCTGGACACCAGGCGCAGTCTCTGGTACGGAGGACTAGATGGGGCTGGTGAGCTGCCTTTCCCCGCCAAGACTTCTGTTGTCAGGTCAGACTTAGAAATATTTCCAGCTGCCAGGTGGGATGAACTTTTGGCTGCATGAGAAACCTGCTCGCACAAAACAAGCGTGATGCTGTGTACACTTACTCCAGGGAGAAAGCCGCAGAGGGGTGCATGAGCTAAGGTCCATGGTGCAAGTACCCTACAGTCCTTTCAGGCTCCCCTGCTCTCTGGGAGAGCAGAAGATGTAGAAATGCTCCATCTGTTTTCAACAGGCAAAATAACTCTTCGTACTAGAATTAATAAAAGGGCAGGAAGGAGGCTTTGGGTTCCTTAGGGAACTTGTAGGGTGACTAGGGATGCTGAATTTGAGACACCGCATTTTAGTATCAAGTTTTGTCCACATCTTTGACTCTTTGATAGTCCAATGTGGACCTGTATGTTGTGTGTCCTCTGCGAAGCTTGGGGTAGCTGTTTATATTTCACCCTTTTTCAGGCAGGGTTGTTTTGAGGCTAAAACTCTGTTACCCTGTTCCGGGCTTTAGAACGTAGAGTAAGGAGGAAAATTTGGAAACAAAAGTTTCATGGTATGAAGCATCAAAATGTTGCAATCTGGGAATCAAAGCTAATAAACGTTATCTTGGCCTTTCTTGGAGGAAAAAAAGGGCTCTTGCTCAGATTCTTAAATTCACAAACGTGGTTGGGACTGGAGTTGAAAGCTCAGGGTGAAACTTCTTGCATGGATGGTTAAATCAGGGTCTTACACGTGTTACTGATGACTGTTGGATGTTTTTCACTATGCTATTTATACCATTCACACATGCTACTCATTCTGTGTTGTGAACTGCTTTTGCGTCTTCAACTGCAGTTGTCACGTACACCTCTGAGATGTCACGCAAAGTTGAATCTCAACACTCTTTGAAGGCTGTGATGTTTCTCTTCATAATTGCAGGATGAGGACTAAAGTTTGCTTCAGTGATGAGGAAGAGGGTTGCCCTTAAAAACTACTTAGGGAAGAGACTTATAATTGGTCTGATTTAGGCTGAACTATTTGGAAGCTCATATAAAGCTTTAAGAAGTCTTGGAAACAAGAGGGTAAATCCAGGTAGAAGCTGATGATCTGCTCTGAAGTCAACAGGAGCTGCTCCAGTGACTTCAAGGATGAGAGCCCATCCATTGGGACAGAGTCTTATGTGTGCATTGGTAATGAAGAAAAGACATTGCCTATTTATTGTTTTATGTGGGGAAATGAAGGCTTACTGTGGGTGTAAATCTTCTTCAATAACAGCTGATGTGTCTGTGTAATGTCTTGGAAGACCTGAAATTTTGGCTTTTGCTTGTTTTTAATCAAAATTTCTTTTAGCTTTTTGCAATGAGCAGGAAAATCAAAGCAGGAATCAGCCAAAGTTGATGCTTGGTTTTGACAGACTTGGTGTAAAGGCAGGGCCAGGACTATAGTTCCCCATATTATCAATGTGCTCAAGCTGGTGCAAACCCTTCTGCTGAGCCTGGGAACATTAAGGGTCCCAGAGTGAGTCAAAAGGTATCATGTCTGTGCTGCCGTACGCCTGTGGACTTTGAGTTTGGCTTTGTACACGTGGCTTTTGACTTGAGCTGTTCTCTGTTGGGGCCTGAGCAAAGTACTCTTTCCAAAGAAAGAGCCTCTCCGTGAATTTGGGAATGGTCTTTTTTCTCTTGCCTCTGTGTCATTGCCTGTATGTTGTGTGTAATGATATTTGCCTGCCTTTTGTACACTTTTTTTTTCCATTCCTACTGATAGGAGTGTGTTTAGTAGAACACTCTCTTGATATAAATTGATCATTTTCTTTTTCTTTTTTTTTATTTTCTTTAATAGGTATATTGCAGTGGATCTGAAAGTGATATAGGAAAGAGTTTCTCCTGGGAAGAGAAGCCTCCCTGCAAGGCCAACTCTGAAGATGTGGACTGCCATTGTATTCTTCCCGCTGATTTCCTTCTGTATATGTGAACATAGGTTTTCTGTCCTGAAAGGGAGAGGAGTCCGTGTAGTGCAAATAAACAGGCTTACAACTGAAAGGCAGTGCAGGCAGGCTTGTCAAAGCCCAGGTGCTTCAGGTGAGGTTCTTGTCCCTTAGCTGGAATTCCATCTGGGTTTTCTGTTCCTTAAAGGTCTCTTCTGCTCCCCTGACAACTATCTTTCTTAATTCCAGTTGTTTACAGGCATTTACAGTTATGGCTTCTCTGTGCAGTCCTGTGGCGCCACATAACTGTGACAGCTTTGGTTAAATTGAATCCAGAACAACCATTTCCCAGGGCTCTTATAGCTTCCATAAGAAACAGCATGTATGTGCACTTGGTGTGCACTGGTAGCGTGCAAACGGTGTTAGGTCACTTGACTTGAAGAATTATTATTCCATGCTGCCAGATGTTTGCAAGTAAACAGTGCTGTTGTAGACAGCTGCACTGGAATGAGTAGTCTTTGCTCACTGGTATTTATGTGTGTTTTTTCTGCCTTAGAAGAAATGAGTTGTATCCTGCAACCAAGCACAGGGTTAAACAAGTCCGGGGAGATGGGAGCCTTCTGCTGTCTACATCTGAGATGTCTTTAAAGAGCATTAAACTTTTAAATGAGTCTTTCAGAGTTGTCCTTATGAAGGACCCTCTCTTATCTAGCCACATGTGAAAACTTGTAGCACCTACAAACAACTGGTGATGCTGTGGTGAAGATGAGACCTTGGTTCAGGTGGATGAATGTCTGACAGTCAGATTAATAGGAACATCATAAAGATGCCTTTTTTAATGCCCAGTGGTTTAAACCTGTATTTTAAACGTGAGACATCCCTTCATAGTGGAAAGAAAGCACCTTTATAAACTAAGTGTTTTATTTAGGAGGTAAAATATGAGTGGGTTTGTCTCCCAGGCACCAGAGCTGTGAAAACTTTAGCTTCTGCTTTTTAAGGTGGTAAACTCTAGAGAGATGACACATTCACACTGACTGTGCTGACACTTAGGGTTTGTAGCACTGCATGTTTGTCTGTTCCACGTGAGAATCTCTAAACACTGTGCACATGTCATCTTAACTTCCTGATATCTTGATAAGGGTAGAATAGGTGCTATCAGCTGCCTCTTCCAGAGGAGGGACATAAGGAATTTACTTAGTCTGTGATCAGGGCTGGGAGATTACCTGAGTGCATGCTTCACCCTGTTGCTGACTTCAATGACTTTTTTTATACCCTTCACCTTGTTCTCTCCTGTCGTGTTTTGTACAGACCAAGTCCAGTTGAGTGTTAGCTTTGGGCAGAGGGGGTTGAGCCTCTAGAATTAGGTGACCCATTCCATCTTCAGCAAACCATGCAAAACTAAACCCAAAAGCATAAACCTTTTCAGGTTTTACATTCTGTATTAAACCCACTGAAGCAATTTAACTCCTATTTGTTACTTGATGGCCAGTCTGTTGCACTACCTGGTGTCAAGGGAGATGGAAAAGATACAAACTCTTGACATAAATGTGTAGCCATGTGCAGAGAGATCATCTGGAGAGAAGGACCTGAAATGTCTTTTTTTTTTTTTTTTATGATTAACTTTAGGTTTTAAGATCAGCGTTACTGCTCTCATTCTCCATTCCTACCTTCTCTAAGTATATTTATTTTTGTGCTTTCTTTCATTACAGACATGAGGCCTGAGGCTTAGATGTTACACCTATGTAACTGTCAGTAAAGGAGCAGTGGTTCTTATTTTTGTAAAGTATTATAGTGTTAAGTTGCAGGCCAAGGGTGCATGGGGAGACGTCTTCATAGCTACATTGCTTGGAGAAGTGGAAAAATAACACTCCTAGCTGGTTAGACTCTCTTCTGTAGATGTAATTTATACTCTTGCTGACATAACATCACTAAGTTAGAGAAATACTGCAACTATCACAAAAAGAACCGCTTTTGCCAGTACATTCACATCTCAGATGTGCCTTGCAGAAAAGGGAATGGTTGCTGGTCTAGCTATTCCAGCATCGCCTCTGAATATCCACACCAGAGGCCAGGATACATAGTTAGCAAACTAACATGTCAAAAAGGATTGGTACAATCCTACAGTTTGACACTTCAATTACATGCTAATAAAAGCAGCAAAACGCTCCAGGGCTGATAGCATGGGTAGTAACTCTAACCTCCGCATGTTGTCTAATGCAATGGGTTCAAGTCTCCAGCTGCTGCTAGGGTAAGTGATATACATCATGGAGAAAGTGCCCATCTTAGCAAAGATCTGGCAATCCAGGATTCCCAGATGCCTGGTGAGCATGGTGAACCTGTGTTGGGAGGTAAGATAAGCTAGCGCTCTTCCACTTGCATCCTCAGCCATATTCAGAGCTCTCCCAAGTTTCTTCTGTGGTGGTCAGTCCAGGGCTGGAGGGAACATCTTGGCCATCGGAGCAGTCTGGCTCTGAAAACAGAGCCACTTGGCCATACTTCTGGGCTATCTTGCATGCTCTGGGAAAAATAAAGGGAAAATATGACATAGCTGCAAAAACAAATATTCCTGCTCCCTACTTGCACAATACATCTGCTTACCTGGCTTCTGCTTGTCTTTGGGCATCTGTGATTTCTTTCCAGTAACAGCAGGCCTAAAAATGAAATAAACCAGTTTGGTAGGGCAAGACCTCGGCATCTGCCTACATGGTTTCCTTTCAAAATAGCTCTGAAGAGCGTTTGTTGTCCTTCCACTTTCTTTTTTTTTCTTCTTTGTTTCTTTTTTTTTTCTTTTTTCTGTCTCCTAATTGGAAGTGAGCAAAAAGGAGCCACTGGGTGGCACATATCTTGCAGTGGACACATCAGCTGGAGCCTCAGTCTGGAGTTGCATCAAAGGAAGTACTAATCAGTCCAGCTGAATAGAGGTATCTGGTTGTCCTGGGGAGCAACAGGGAAGTCATGAGCAGCTGGATACCATCCTGATGGCAGCAGAAACCAGGGTGCTTTAACCATGCTGATTCCATTAGTCTCTTGACCTTTCTGAACTGACTGACTTAGATATGTAGCCAGTGCAAGATATGCTGCTGGCTTTTTGTTTTCCCCTTCCCGAGAAGTGAGAAATGGCACGATTTACAGTAGTAGATGGTCTGCGTTTCTCCACTAGCATGGCTTACTGAGTGAGGGACAGGAGTTGGGATTGGGAATCAGAGCACATCCAAACATGCTTTCATTTCTGAGGAGTGGATTTTAATTTCTTGAAGGGCTGCTGCTGTGTCTCCTGCTCTGTGTGACTGTTGAGGCTTGTCATTAATCTGTATTTTTAAGTACCATTTTTTAAAAGACTCTGAATGGTTTCGGTCACTTACTGACTTTGATAAAATGTTGAAAAATTCCACCTTTGCTAGTTTCTTTAGGGCTGTCAAAACAGACTGCAATTGTTGGTACAGGGATTTCTCCAAGTTCATAAATTTTCCACAAGCCCTTTTAATAACTGTGGTAACATAATTTTTTTTATGAAAAGTTCAAGCTTCCCATAGCCTTAATCCTCAGTGAGGGTAACTCTCTTTGTAGATAAGAGCTTTAAATATAGCCCTATGTACCACATAGGCATGTCCTTTGCTGTTTCTCACACTTCTAACAAAACACAGAAATTAATTTCTCCTACAGTACACTTAAGTTCCCTTTAATCCACTGACAAGTGGTCAGTTGGGCACATATCTGCTTCATCCCAGACTGAGCACTGTGTTATCTTCTGTGCTTTTTGTTACAGCACGTGTCCCAAAAATCAATTGCATGCTACTGTGATATTACATAAAATCGTAGTATGATTAGGCAGGAAGGGACCTTTTGAAGGTCTCTGGTCCGAACCCGGCTTAGATCTGGCTGTTCAAGACCTCATGGAGAGTGTACCACCTCTCTGGCCCCCAGCCCAGTGTTTGAGTGCCCTTGTGGTGGAAACTAATTTTTTCCCTTGATGTTGAGTTGGGATTTCCTGTAAATAACCTGCTTCAGCCCCTCAGACATCTAGTAGTCTCCCTTGGACTCGCTCCAGTATGTCAATACTGCTCTTGTGTGCTGGAGAGCCCAAAACTGGGCACAGTGTTTGAGAAGTCTCCTCAGCGCTGGTTAGAGCAGGTTCATTCCTTCCCTCAAAGCTTGGTTATGTGTATGTAGACACGCCCAGAAAGAAGTTAGTGAGTTCGAAGGAATGCCAGGAGGGAAAGTTCCTGCTGTGATGAGTTTGTTTAGCTTGTGTTGGGGTTTGACTTCCTAAAAGAATATTTCTGTGATGGCTCCCATGGCTAATGGCATCATTGTTCAACGAAGGAAGAGTAAATTTTTGTGTAACTCCAAGCACTGAGATGAGAGCTGTCTCCCATGGGTGATGAGATGGGTGTCTTCTCAGTTTCAGCTCACTTCCCCCCCCCCCCCATTAAGACATCTAGATGAATGCTAGCATTTAGATGGGTCCAAACCGTAGTGCACTCTCTCTGTCCCTGTCTGGGTGAGTGAATTGCTGCTGTTAGGAGATGTTGGTACTAGAAGACAGGTAGGCTGCAGCTGCTATATTGATTTCATTGGCTTTCCAGTTATTTTCACTAAGGCTGAGTCAGGATCCTTTAAGGCCAGACCTTCTAGCTATTGTTTGGGTTTGTTTGTTTTTTTTAATTCTTTAATTACAGCCATGAAGCAGTGTGTTCAGTATACTGTGTGTAGCGACCCATCTTCTCTGCTGTTTTCAGGTAACCATCACTGTAATTGGTCTGTGCCCTACCAGAATCGCTGCATCCTCTTGCAGTGTCACCAGCTGAGCGTGTGCCAGAATGCTGGAGAACAAGACATCAAAGATCTGCTTGGAGGTAACGCCATGCTTCAGGCTCCTGCTAAATCCAGGATCCTGGTCCTTTTGCTTACATTTAGATCTTGACTGGCTTTCAGCTGAGGGAAATGGATTGTGAAATGCCTGGAGGATGATTCTGTAGGTAAAGTCGGTTGACTGGAAAAACCGTTCCACTAGGCTCCTAAGGGCTCTGGCACTTACATGTGCGTGATGTGTCTTTGAGTAACTTTTGTTACTGGTACTGAGTAACAGTTTGTCTCCATGTTGAAGACGTCATTCATTCAAGCCATTTGCACTCCACATGCTGTCCTTTGGAAAATAAAGGCATAACAGATGTATTTATATTTTTTAAGAGAAAGAAAAATGTCTTGGCATTGTTGAGATTGTTGAGATTGCCAGGATTTTGTGCCAGAGGCAGCAGGCTGCTTCTATAGTCAGAGCAGCCTTAGCAGCAATTGCTCATGGTGACTTTCCAGTGCCAGGGTCTTCAATTTTAATTAAGTGACACAATAACAAAACAGAGCTTGTTAGTAATTGGGGAATCAATCTTCTAAAGTATGATTCAAGAGTTTGCTGTACCTAAGTTAAAAAAAAAAAAGAAAGTTTGTTCATGGTTCTTCTGGGTTTGCAAAGGTTTCTCTGCAACGTAGCAACCAGACCTTGATAAGCAAATGGGATTTATGTCACTATAAATCTAGATCACTAGTTGTGAAGGAATTTCTCCCGAAGTATGAAGGTGAAAGTGGAAATTTCCACTCAGTTTTGAGAGGTGAAAATTATGAATCTAAGCACAAAGGCTGTGTCGATGCTGTGTAACTTTGAAAGCATGAGTCGTCTTCTCAGGAGCTCGCATTCGTAACACTGCTCCTGTTGATAATGTGCTTCTGCATTGTAGCTCTGTACTTCATTACCCCCTTTTGTGGAATTAATTCCCTCATTGGGCAAATGCCAGAGGTCTGTGGCACAAAAAAACCCCCAACCCAAAAACAAACAAACAAACAAACCACCCCCAACAAAAAAAACAAACCCAAAACCCAAAGGGATTATGTGCAATAAAGGCAGGGGTCTGAGTTTTCATGTTCTTGCTGACTTCAGGACTGATTTATTCCAGTTGTACTCCATGTACTGCAGAATACGTGTTCTGGTTTGCATGTTGGGGGTATGAGGTCAGATTGGAGCTTGAGAGTTTTATTCTTATGAGACTGATTGGTTTTGTCTTTTTGAAGAAATTGTTGGTGGGAAAAGGGAAACAGTCCTGTTTCACCATCAAAGCTATCCGCAGAAAAAGGAGAGGATGGTGAATGCACGGGTTGACCGACACAACGTGGAAAACCTGTTTTCCTCAGCGGCTCAGACTCACAAGATTCACTTGAGGCATTTGCTCGGGATTGACAGGGAAGTTGTAATAACAAATGCAAGAAAAACAATTACAAGCAATGCTACCACCACCACTGCCACAGCCGTAACAACAAATGTTACAAATGCAACTGTCCTCACTACAGCTTATGAAACAACTGCCAAAACCTCAAACGCCACTGGAGATTTTGGTCGCCTTGTTGAAGCCATGTCAACCACTGCCTCTTCTCCCACTTCTAGTAGCATCCCTGCCGCCACTTCCAGCCATGTCACCAAGCTTGTGACCACCACTGAAAAATCAGAAAATAGTAGCTCTGTCTCAGTATTGTCCCCCACTTCTACTTTTGTTCCCCTCACTGTCATTTCTGAAGCAGGTGCTCAAATGCCTCGAACAGAGCAGTTTAACCCAGCCACCACCACCAGCATTCCCCGCTCTAGTAGCCCCGCCACTGTTGGAGCTGACCTGAAGATCATGAGTACAACATTGACCACCCTCATCCCGCAGGATGCAGAAACATCTTCCACTCATGCCATGGCACTCACCCCCTTGGAGAGTTCATACTCTGCGAATCCAGTGCCTGTCGTATCACTGTATGTAGAGCCAGAAACAAGTACAGCCACAACATCCTTGAGTAAATCAACTCTTCTTCTGGGCTCTACAAGAGGTGCCATGGTTTTAACTACTGCCTCTACAGCAGAAATTATGAGTGGGCATGGGATACAGTCAACATCTCACATTTTTTCAACAACCACAGCTCCAGCAGATGCACCCAAAACAACAGCTTCAGGCCTTGAAGAAACTCAGGACACAGACAATGAGTATCTTCTCATTGCTGCTGAGCCCCTGACTCAGTACTTAGTGGATAAAAGTTCTCTTCTTGCAGTGCTTTTAGTTGGTACGTTTTTCTTCATAACTGTTATAGTTCTTTTCCTTATGCAGGCCTACGAGAGCTACAAGAGGAAGGATTACACACAAGTGGATTACCTGATCAATGGAATGTATGTGGACTCAGAAATGTGAAAGGGTGGGGATAAAACAGTGGGCAGAGAGATGGAAAGGAGATTGAAAGCCTGCCTGACTTGTTTTTCTTTCCTATTTGCCTATAACACAAACTGAAAGTGCTTCCAAATTTACTTCTGGTGCAATTGAGGAGAAATGCCATGTACTGTATTAAGAAAAAAAAATAATTTTTTATTCAACCACGCAACGGGTTGCTCTAAAAAAAAAGTAATAATTTTTAAAACTTACATAATGCACAATAGCTTTGGCCATTATTTTTCATTGCAAAACAAACCTAACAAGGGGTAAGCCATCACCCTCACAAAATGCTGTGGCGCTTTTTCAACTGTTTGCAGTGCAAGTTCCTTGTGTTTCATTCATTTCACATGTGCTTCTCTGAAAACAGAGCAAAGGATGCTCTCACCTTTTGCGAAGTGCTCTGAAATCGCCAGATGAGAAGTGTGGAGTACTGCTGCAACAGGGAACTTTTAATCCAATGCGTGTTGTTTCAGTATACTTCTTGCTTGTAAAGAGGTCTGTTTACAAGGCATTGTAAACTCTGTTTACTGCTAACCCAAGATATCTTTTCACCATGGAGCAGATTACTGTGCCCCTGCACTTAAATTATCTTATTTTTGTATTCACTTAATAAATGGGGTCCTGGAAGGGCATATCTTGTTGCATTTCTGGTTTCATTCCTGTTCCTGTCAGTTCAGAAGCAGGCAAGTGGGCTTCTGGGGCTTAAGCAAATTAGCTCCACTTCAATATTCCAAGTATGGGGGCTTTGAAGACCTCACTGGAAGTATGGACATGTCACAGAAGATGCTGATCATCATCTGGGGTACTACTCCTGTAATTTCAGAGCAGTATGCTGCCAGTCTCCCAGGTATGCGGACCCATTCACTGCTTATTATCGTTCATGCGTAAAGCATCAGGATCTGTTCTGGTTTTTGTTTTGCATTTGGGACCAGCTCAGAGTTGCTAGTAATTTGGAAACCTTATTGCATGTGCAGTTGCAGCTCACCTTCTAAGATCTGCAGCTGAGAGAGTGAGTAGAAAACACTTGATTTTCGGCAAGTATCCTTCAGTGATTAATGCATCTTATTTGAATGACACATACATACCAATAGCAAAATGCTGGATCAAGGTGCATTGTATTTTTTTTTTTAACCTGATTGATAGCTTGTCTCTCACTTCGGATTCGTTGGCTCTTCTTTAATCCTGCTTGCATGTAATCTTGAGGCTGATAATAGCCAAACCTCAGAATTTGAGCTGTTGGGTTTTGGTTTGGTTATTTATTCAAATTCTTTGGCTGTTTAGAATTTGGAGGGAGTCTTTATGCTGGAAGAGGTTACTTTGTAGACTTCTTGTTCATCATCAAGCTGAAAGTACTATGAAAATAGCTGCAAATAGCACAAGCAGCAGCAGAGGCAAGGGGTTGTTTGAAAGAAATGGGCAGGAGGTAGCTTCCTGAATCTTACCTGATAACAAATTTTGAGGACAAAATTTCAGCAAGTAGTGTATGTTGAGGAAAGGAAAGAGATTGCTTTGTAAGTGAGACTTGGTTGTCAGCGTTGGGTTGCATTTTGCCGTGCTTTTGCATGGACTGCATCTGCATGCCAGTAGGTTAGAGCATCTCTCAGGGTAAAAGGATAGTGTGGTTTTGGGAGTCTCCCTCCTTGGAATGCCTGAAGTATAAGCCACAAAATTCACGTGATGTTTCCTGGAGGGGAAAAAAAGAGTTTGAGGGACTGAATTTTATTGTATTTTAAGGTTATTTTTAATTGGTTTCTCCTCAGCAGAAGGGAACTGAACCCTGATTTCTGCCATCTTCCAGGAGCCACCTCTGTGCAGTATCTATGCAACAAGGTGCTGGGAACATCCCCCAGCATAGCTGGGGAGTTGCACCCCGTTGAGATGCTTGGGACTGTTTGCCTCTCAACGCAGCTGTTCTGAGCTGTTAGCAGATGTCAGGTAGATGCTGCTCTACAACCACAAAGTCCAGAGATTTATCTTTACATAGGGATCTCAGGTTTCACCTTAATTGCTGGTGAGTCACTAACCACAGACCTAAGCATGTGGTCTTTGAGCTCTACTCCAGATACTGAGGTAAGAGCTGTCTCCTCAACTCCCTGCCATCTCCGAAGTAAGGAGATGGGTGTTACCTCAGATTCATCTCACTTCTTTTTCTCCTCATTTAGGCATCTCAGATAAATGCTTGCATTTCGATAGGGTGAATCCAGGCAGTAGTGCTCTTCCTTGTAATTTATCCCTGCCTATGCAAGTGAATTCCTGTCTGTAGGAAGTGCCTTCCTGCATAAAGGGTCAGTGTAGCAGCTGTTCTGCTAGTGCACTGCAGTATTTTTTTTTTTAAGTTGCCTGAGCTATTTCCACAAAGACAAACTATGATCATCAGACTCATAATTGCTTATCCTGGAAATGGGGAAATTTTTGGATGAACTTTGCACTAACTGTGGCCTTGTTTCTTTTGGTGTCCATGGATCTCTTCATAGACCGAAAATTGGACACCAGATTCTGTGGAGTGGAGCGGAAGCTTGTGAAGTTGCATTGTTTTTTATTCTCTTCTTTGAAGAGATATTAAACTCCTGTACTGATTTCCTGGAGGGAGTAGGAAGTGAAAGGAGAGGAAGGGGGCATTACTTAAACACAACTCTGAAAGAGTTTTCTTTTCTAAAACAAGATACTTTGTAAGATTGGTTAATTAAAAACAAATACACCCCTTTGGGGATAATTTAAGTGGGTATGATATAGTTACAAAAGTTGGAGTTGGGTTACAACTCTATTTGAAAGAGTCTTAGGGAGTTTCTCATGGACAGAGTGAGAATATTACAACTCCATCATGGCTAAAAGAAAACACCACCATAAAAATCTTTGTGGCTTCTTAACAGGTTCTTACAGGAAGGTGAGTACTCATCAGAAGCTTGTTGCAGTTCCCACAGCCCTGGTACATTTACATCTAAGTCTCCTCTTCAGATACTGGCACAGCCTGTCCTTTTTGTTCTTATTTGAGTTACTGCACTTCCAGCTATGAATTACTTTCTCAGCAGGCACTGA